TTCTCCTGAATTTCGTTTTGTTAATTATAGCAAAAATTACGTGAGCGGAGGGAATGCGTTTTCACTTTTTTCTGAGTCTTAATTCGGACACAAGAAAATTCCTAAACTCAATTCTGATTTTTCGGCACTATTTTTGTATATTTCTAAACTCAAGTTTTTTTTATTTTATTTCCAATTTTCTCTTTAGTTTTTCTTTAGTTTATTCGTCTATGTTTCCGCTGTACTGTTCGCATGTTGCAGGAAGCTTCGAAAATATTGATCACGAAGAAGATGGACGATATTTTTGATGCTTACCTCGGCTTTCACGATGATCAGCTCGCAAATACGATCTGGGAACTAATTAAAAACAGCGAAAGTCCTAGTGATCTACAAAATATTCTTCAGAAGTATTCTTTCAGAATATTCTTCAGAGATATTCTTCACCAGAAAGCTCCCTGCCTTGAAATATGTTATTGTGATAGATGAAATGACGCCAGATATGTTACAGTGCCTCTTCTGAGACTCAATTTATCACCAACGGGGGTGTAGTGAAATATGTTAACCCCGTTTCTTCCGAGGTTCACAACGTCACCTTTTTCCCGTCACGAAACGTCACTCAAATCTGACGGAATAAGCACGAAAAATGAGTCAACGTGAAAGCGGCTATATTCTTCTAGTTGTTCCAGTGAAGTACGTTTTTCTAGCTGCCAATTAGTACGTCCGAATTTTATGTACGGACAAATGAAAATTTCAACGCGAAATTCAGCATCTCAGGAACTAGAGAAGCTAGAAAGCTGGAATTTTAAAGGGATCCGCTGCCTGTGCGTGAGCTCCTGCCAATATCTGTTTTTGCGTTTGTATAACATGCAAAAACGAATCATTGTCAAAATTTTTCTGTAACTTGAAAGTTTTATTGATTTCAGTCGGAGACGAATCATTTTGATCTGCCCGAGGAGCTGCTTCTCGATATGTGGACTTTTGTGGATGATCACAGGAATGGACGACTGGATAAAATTTTGCGGGCCGAACCGGAAACAAGTGAAACAGAAGAAATTTGACTCCGAGAATCCGATCTTATCAAAATAATTATATTCAGAAAAACTGCGCTAAAATGCTGAGCAGTTGTTCCGGAAGCGATTCCGTCAGATTGTAAAAAATTAATTACT